CCCCAAAACCCCAAAACCCCAAAACCCCAAAACCCCAGGACATAGATTTCGATATATTATATTAGCCCTACAAATGGAATCAGACAAACTCAACAGTAATGGTTCTAAACTAAGATTTATAGATAATAATACGCCCCATTATGATCCTAATGGTATGCTTAATTCTTCTAGCTCTAACTCTTAATAGATGAGATGAATAAGACAGAAGATATGATAGTTCAGGAAGGATTCACCTCAGTTCAAATGCTAAACAAGCCCCAAGTCCATGTTCTCAAAAAGTAATCTTTCTAATATTTTCCGAATTTTTGTAACTTCCTTAATTTTTGAGGTTAAATTTGAGCAACCGAAGTGAAATTGACGAAGCACGCCTGGAATTGAGTGATTCATGAGCTACATAAAATTTGAATAAATATATTTCTCGATGAAGATGTGTAGATAAGAATCTCTTAGTGATATTTCTTACTTCACAAAACAACCAGATTAATCATGCATGTATAGATAAGAGGCCTCAGCAAGCTAAATCAATGGATAATATCGATCAAAACTTGATCGGAGTTCATAAGTTTACCATTGAAGATCCTGATGTGTACATAAAATAGAGCATTTGGTAAAAACTTCGAGTTTTCAGAAGAGTTCTTACTCTCTCATATTGAACCAAAAGTTGTCCTCAAGGCAATTCAGAAGAGGTACAGATTCAAATAAAATCACTCGAGTGACGATCAAACATATCCTCTATGAGGGAGCAAGATCCAATAATATTTTAAGAATCAATGATGAAAGTTATGAAAAGCTCGTAGATATTTTGGAATTACCGATAGACGAAGAGATTATGGAAACACCCAACCGCAGAAGAAGAGAATTCCTCAAATTTCGGGTAAGCCTATCTACTTTGCAATGACTTATTGACTGAATACTAAATTGTCAAAATTAGAGTAATTTGAGTTAAAAATAGCTATCAACTTTGAATTTATTTTTAATAACTAATTTCAATAGCAATCGCCAGAATTAAATAGACTAAGTCCTGTTTTGTTCCAGAACAGCACTAATAAAAAGTTACCAACTATTCAAGAAAGTGTTATTGGTACTAGCCAAGTATGTGCAAAATCGAGCCAGATCCAAAAATCCGAGCATAGTCTGCTTGAACTATCTCGTAGCACAATGAACTCTGAAGATTACATACAACAGAGCTACAATGATCTGTTTGAACAAGCCAAAAATCTTTTAACTAATATTATTAGAACTGAGAAAGGTAATATGGCCTTAATCAAACCTTTAAGACATCCAAAGTATGCTTAGACTTTAAAACAAAATAGGAAAAATACAATATCTCCGATAAATTTTGAGGATAGATCCACAGAGCAGTACATCCATGACAAGGTTCAATACAGAGAACTATTATGCAAACTTATGTCAACTAGAGCAGCCTTTTCTCAGAAGATGAAAGTGGATATCCAATCATCCCTTCACACAGTTCAAGAAATCCAGCAGACCTCATCAAACTATATGGGGGTAGACTTATTCTTCTAAAATTATAGGATACTGGATCTTGAACTCAAAAACAATCGAGTTCTTCAAGATGAAAATCTCTGATTCCGGATTTTAGGAGACCTCAATACTCTCTATTTCTCATTATCTTGCTTATATCTATAATCTTTGGACTTATCTTCGGAGGAATTATCTACTTAACTCATCATTATGAAGTTGCTGGATATGGTCTCATCTCGAGTAAAATGTTTGGATCAGCTTGAATACTTCTAATATCCCTTCTTTGATTGTTTATTTCTATTGATCTCATAACATGGTTTAGGAGTAAATTTAAAGGAAAATGTCTATCTTTACTTGACCATAACTTAGCGATCCATAAATTCTGAGGCCATCTGATGGTGATTTATGCTATCTTCCATTCATTATCGCATCTCTTTGGCACTTTTCGACATATCTCTAATGCAGATTATGATAAACTGAGAGAAAATAAGCGATTTAGGGATAGATTTGACCATACCCCAACATACTCAGAGCTTTTATTCCAGACTTATCCAGGAATTACAGGGTTGCTATTATTAGTTGTAACAATCACAATTGGAATAACATCACTTAAATGAATCCGACAGAAGCGCTTCCAGATTTTTGGATACACACATATGGTCTTATTTCCCATATTTCTGCTTTTATTCTGAATTCATGGACTTGATACATGGTTTATTGTAGGAACCCCTATAGCTATCATAATTATAACACCCAAATTTGTACTCCTTATTTTCCAGAGAATAGCGAGGGTGACTTCAGGATGACGATATACATTTCAAATTGCAGATGTCTCTATGTCATTCTCATGCAAGTATATCATGATTCACCTGACCAAGCCGAAGGGATATAAGCTAGTCCATGGGCAGTTTATATACATAAACGTTCCTGAGGTGAACTTGTTCCAGTGGCATCCATTTACAGTCGCTTCTTCTCCAGACAACCCTTATTTAGTGCTAATGATCAAGAAAGCAGGTAACTGGACAACTAAATTGTCCAACCTTCTTTATGAACGAAAGAAGAAAATGATGAAATTTGATGAGCTCAATTTTATGGACTACGAAGAGTACGATGTTTTCAATCTACTTCATGATTTACATCAAGAAATTCCACTTAAGGAAGTCAATGAGCGAAATAAAATTTATTATCCTAAAGTTAATATTAGTTGGGCTTGTGCCACTCCTAATGAGGCCTTTATTGATCAAAAGAATATCATCTTGGTTGGTGCTGGAAGTGGCATATCTCCCTATCTATGACTTCTTGAAGAAGTTATTAGGTTCGATCAAGGTAAAAATAATAAATATGATTTTGAGACAGCCAGGTTGATATTCGTTGCTCGAGAAGGAGAGCAAGTATCATGGATCTCTAATTACTTGTTCCATATTATTAACTCAAAATGAGTTATGCCAAGCTTAGAGTTTTATGTGTTCATTACTATTGATAAAGAACTTGAAACATTACCTTCCTTTCTATTTTGGAGAGCCTTTATGCTAATTCAAAGTCAAAAGGATATTTGAATAAGAGAACGCAAAAATTCGAAATCAAAATCAAAATCAAAATCAAAACCAAAAGCAAATCCAAATCTCAGTCTTGGACTGAAATCTTCTACAAGTAATCCCCTAAAAATAACAACTATATAGACAACGATGATGAAGAAATAAAGAGGAGGATTCAGAAATCTCCTATCCGAGTGATGTTCGGACGTCCAGACTTCAAATCCCTCTTCAAATCCTTCATAACACCAAATTCCAAAGAATTCCACTGCTACTCGACCACGAGCCCAGTCGTGAACAGAGCTATTTTCGATGCTGCTTACAAAGTCACAAAAGAGACAAAGGTAAAGTTCCACCATATTTATGAAGCAACGTCTTAATTACTCAATCTCTAGATGTACAAAAGGGGTTTTGGGGTTTTGGGGTTTTGGGGTTTTGGGGTTTTGGGG